TCTAACACGTTCGAAATTTTGGTTAAAAGTCGTCTTTGTTTACGTCATCGCGGTGACGTTTAAAATAACAGTTTTTTTTGCGTTTTTTACCGTTGAAAACATATTGATTTGGAAATTCTTGTAAAAATAAAATAATTGTCCAATCTTAATGAAATTTTCAGGACTTATTCACAAATGAATGAAATTATTTTTCAAATATTTTTTTTTAGAAAATTTTGGTAAAAAAATATTTTTTTTTAAATATGTTACCCCCCTTAGTTAATTTCATGAAATTTCCCCAAAACCTTTTGGCTCCTCAATTTTATTTTTTTTGTTAAAGAAGGAGTCTTTGGAGATGGTAAATAACCTTTTTTTTTTTTTCACAAATTTGAGCTACTTAACTGAAAATCTTGTCTGAATTGAAAAATAATGAATCCAATAAAACTATGATATTACTTAATTAGAAAAGCTTTTTAATTGCTTTTGTAAATAAGTAATATTAAAGGACATTATTGTCTGAAGAAATAATTTTTCTGATGAATAATTAATTTTTACAAGAATTTTTTCGTTTTTAAGAAATTTTAATTATAATAATTTATAATAGTTTAACATCGTGTAAAGCTCTGTATTAGGAGGGCTCCTCAATATTATGTAGTAATTAAGTTGAAAAAAAAAATTTACGAATCAAAATTGCTAAGTTTAATAAATTTAGTTGAGCTATTTTTTTTAAAAATAATTTTTTATGTTGTATTTTTTTACTTAATACATTCCTTATTTCCATGTATGATATACAGAAATTGCCATTATTATAACAAGGTCACGTGATCTAAGGGTTTTGTCCCTTTACGTGGCCTTTTCAAAACATTTCGTTTCTTATAGGTTGTATTTTCAGCTTCAAAAGTGTAAACTTTAAATTTTAAATTATTTTTTTTTTTTTTCATTTACTATTTCACTAAATAATTTTATTTTATGTATTTATTTCCATTGTGTGTCATACTCAAATAGAATAATTTTTTAAAAAACTCAGACTTAAAAATTATGTCATTTATGGTCATCAGTAGTAGCTGTCATCGGCTCGTCAATCAATCATTCCATCAATAAGATCAATCAGATGAACAGGACCGCTCGTTAATAATTGGTTGTATATTATTTTTTTTATGCTATAAGTAACAAAGATTTCTTTGAAATCAGATTACTTTAACTTTAAATTTTTTAATTTTACTAAAATAACGTGTCAGAATTTTTTTAAATATTTTAAAAATCGATAAATTTGTGTGTTTGTTTACAAATTTCTTAAAATTAAGAAAATGGCCGTTTTAAGAAAATTTAAAAATTTGAAATTAAATTTGACAATCAAATGTATATAGTTTCTATCTGAAATACACCAGAATTGTTTAATTAATGGAAATAATAAATTTAGTTATTAAATTTTCAATTAAAGCTAAAATGAAATCTTCAAGAATGTTTTTTTTCATTGTAAAAAAATTCATTTTAAACTTAAATATAGAAAATTTATGCCGAAATAGTGGAGGTACTTACTTATATTTAATATAAATAATGGTTGAATTCATGTAATTATTAAATTAATGTCGTTTTTTTTCCATCTCATTTATAATCAAAAGGTGTCATTATTTATTTCATTATTTTGGACTAATTCATACCTAGCCAATTTCTGGTAATGGTATATTTCAAAGGAAGTTAAAACATTTAAATATTATTAATTGGAATTAGAAAATTATTACCCAAAAAGAAAATTCTTCAATAAATTTATGTTATAGCAAAGCATAAACCAGAAAAGATTGGATAGCTAAAACAATAGAACATGTCATGAACGTAACAAAGCAAACCATCTAAAAAATGTTTTAATAAATCTTACTTCATTTTTTTTTGTAAAAACCTTTAAGTACCATTCAAAAAAGCAATAAGCTACAAGAAAGAAAAACCCAAACTTAGGTTGTCATCAATTCTAAGATTTTTATTATTTTGTAAGCAAAAGAAGAATCAAAGGACAGAAGATTTGTTAATTAAAATAAACTTTTTGTTTTTTTAAATTTAATCGGTATCAAATCTTGCTTAAAATTGCCTCTTCAAAAAATTGATTGTAAAAACAAAACATTTTTTAAAATGTCCAAATATTTTTTTTTTTTGTTTTAAATTGACTTAAACAACCAATGATTGTAAAAGTTTGATCCTTGTTTAATTTTGCTAATTAATCTTGTATCAATATATATATATATATTATATATATATATTTGAATATTCTTCAGGTCTATTAATTTTTTAATTTAAAAAATTAACAGGGATACATCAAAAAATTTTCAGGAAAATGTTTGATATTATTTAATAAAGCAAAGTTATTTCTTGTTTTTTGGTCATTCTATTTTTAAAAATTAAAAAAATCTTGTTCTAAGATTTGTTATTTTAATAGGGATAGTTGCATTAAAATTTAAACCCTAGTCATTTTCAGACGCCATTAATCCATACATATAGCGCCATAAAATTTTTTGTTACACACTGATTTCAAAGAAACCTTTTTTTTTCTATTTAAACTGTTTTTACATTTGTTTTTACCATTTTTTGAAAGATTTGCTAAGAATTTATGATTGAATTCTTCAATGGAAATAAAAAAATATTTAGAGTTTTAAAGACTTCTGTATTCAAGACCAAAAATAAAAGAGCAAAAAATCTTGTTTTATGAGTCCTTATTTCTTCTGTACAGATTAAGAACCTGGTTTTCAAATTTTTATAAGTATAAATATTGGGATTATTTTTCAGAGTTTAATTTTGATCAAATATTTACTGAAAGAAAATTGATTGTAATAACATTTTGTTTCAGAAAGGAAATTGGTGTTTTTTTTTTTTTTACGGTAAAATTGACAAATAAATAAATTATTCACCAATATTTTGAAAAAATTACTTTCAGCATTTTTTTTTTGTCTTTTTAAGTGAAATTTAGAATTTGAAATGAAAATTTTTGAGATCCAATTGATGTCATGATTATTTAGATTTTTCCAGAATAACGAAAAATAAGGTAAATCTGTTTTGAAAATCTTGAATAATGTTTTTTCATCACTAACAAACAAGATTCATTAGAAATAATTTTTATTGATTATTTTTTGTATGTGGCCGTGATCGTCATAGAATTTTAAAACCTTTTTTATATTAAATATATCAAGAGTATATGTCACTAAAGTATTCAAAATTTATTAGTTTTATTTACTATATCTATATAAAAATTAGGACCATGTCTAGATACACCATTTTGCTTTTCCACAAATGAGTTATTCCTGAATCTTTTTCGTCAGATTTTTTGGTAGTAACAATTATAAATTGTTTTTAAATTAACATCTTTAAAGACTAATTATACAATTATCAAAAATTTATGAAGCTTGTTGTATAAATTATGAAAACATTATATTCTTCTTTGAATATTCAATTCATCATTTTTTTTTCCTTTTCAATAAAACTTTTTACTAAAAATAGTTTTATGAAAACAAACTTAAATTTTTTCGTGAAATTATTTTTTAATTCATCTAAAATATATCAATATATATTCAAATTCATTTCTGTGGCTTAATTAATACAGAAAATTATTTTTTCCGGGGTTTATTATTTTTTTTTTTAGTTTAATAAAAAATGATTTAAAAAACTTTTTCAATCAAAATGCTGTGTTTTTAAATTCATAAATAGATTGATGCAAACAATCAGTAATTTGAACCAAAACCAATCCTTAAATACCTGATATTTAAACCATCTACGCCAATTTTTTTTAAATGGTTGATTAAATAAAAAATAAATTAGAATTTATGTCATTGAAACTTGATTTTTAATTCTATAATGTGAATTTCAATTCCTGACTATTGTAATCTTACAAACAAAATACATGAAAAAAAAGAAAAATTTTTAAAAACACAACAAAGAAATTTCTGATAACAATAAATCAAATTCGTGATATTAGTAAATTTTACATTAAAATTTCTTTGTAGAATTAATATATTTTTAATACACAATTTTGACAAATTCAATTCTGAAAAAATAAAATGTTACAAAAAAATTGAATGCCAAGATTAAATTAAATGTTGAAAATCTATTAAAAATTTTAATACAAAAAACTAAATTTGGGCCATTTAAAAAGAATTTTTCTGCCAAATTTTCTTTTCTTTTTTGGAATAAAGATGACAATAAAACTAATTTGAAAAGAATTAACTAATGTTGAAGAAAATTTGCAAATCTTCAATTTAAAATTCATCAATTTAAATGAAATATATTGAAACAGACTAAAGAAAAGATATGGGAAGATTTTTTTTGGTTTTGTAGAACTGTTTTTTGTTAGAAGAAAAATAATCATGTATCTAATACCAGAGATGGTAACTATTGTAATTTTAGCTGTTTTTAAATTAAAAGTTTTTAATTCTATTCATCAAAGTCTCTTTCAGGACATATATATAAAATAAAAATTTTAATGAAAAAAATTTTCCATAAAAAAAAAGATGACAAATATTCATTATTAACGTTTTTACAGAAACTTTTTCAAATTTTTGCTTTTAAATTACATTAAATATAAACAACTGTTTTGTATGCATTTTGATTGTAATTCTTCATTTTTATGTACTATGAACATGATTATGCACTTTTTGCATGAAATTTTCTATTTTTTCCCAAAATTTGTTTGCAAAAATTTAATGCTTTGAAATCTACTTTTATTAAAAAGATTTTTCAAAATATTTATTATCATTTTTATTTTTTTTTCCTTTATATGTTATACAGAAACATGGCAATAAAACTCAAGATTTTTCATTATATCACAATTATTCTTTTAAATGTTTGGTTGCCAAAAAATTTTTCAAGATTAAATTTTTAACCAATTCAACCCAGACTGAAAATCACACTCAAATTAACCAATTGATAGATGTAAAAAAAAAAAAAAAAAGTTCAACTTACCAGAGTTTTTCCAACCTGCCATTCTGTGAATGGGAATTCGAAAATGCCCTATTATCAAAAATAAAATTATTTAATTAGAATTAGAAAGGGTTTAGAAATAATGAAACTTGAAGAATATTTTCATCAAAGGGTTTTGTCAATGGAACATGAACAGGATAACCCTGAAAATTGATAGAGAAATGGACATTATTCTTATCAGGTTTCTAAAGAAAATAGCAAATATTTACAAAACAAAACTTTAAAAACATAAAAAATAAATTTAACCCAAGCTTTAAATTTTTAGTAAAAATAATATGTTTTAAAAATATTATTCTGTGATTTGCAGGATTAAACTATAATTTTTCTTATATTCATCAATTCTCTTTGTTTTTTCTGGATCAACTAGGTAACTACAAATTAAATAGAAATAAATAGCATCTTAGAATTTTGCATTAATTAAATAAATACCAAATAAGCATGGTTATTATACAATAGATATATATATATATTTGAAAATACTGACTGTAATTATAAAGTTTGAACTCTAAAGATTAAAAAAATGGTTTCACAAAAAATTATCTCTTATTTTTAATCCTTAAATAAATAATATTTACGTATAATCTTTAAATTAATATTCAAATAAAATTTAAATAATTTTAAATTCAAATTAATACTTGAAATGTAACAATGAAAATATTTTTGGTTCTTAATCATTTTCTTTCAAAATCAGTTTGAGATAAAATCAGGCATGAAATGTGATTTAGTTTTTTACCTCGAATATTTATAAAATAAACAGCAACTATGAATTAAAATTCTCTTTATATTATGAATTTAATGGAAAAATAATTGCATAAAGATAAAAAAATTTTACGTTTTGTAAATAATGGATACAAAATATTCATATTTTTTAAAACAATCAAATAGTTCATTAAAAACAAAAAGCAAAACCAATTGGTAAATTTAAAAAGGAAAATTATTAAATGTAGTTTAAAAACATTTTAAATTTTAATATAAATATTTAAAATAAAAAGTTTAAAAACAAACACTATTTTAAAAATAAAGAGCAAAAAAAAACCGAAATTTGTAAGCAAAAACAAGTATCTGAATGTCCATATGCATTTTTGCATGTAAATTTTCAACCATTTAATGAAATTTTTTTTTATATGATCCAGAGAAAGTATACAAAAATTCATCTCATCAGGCAATTGATAAGATATTTTGATTAAACAGATTTACGACTGCAATTTTTTAAGTTTACATAATTACAATTTGTAATATTTAAAATAAATAATATTGATTAACTAGTTTGTATTTATATCTATTAAAATTAAATGCTACTTGAACATTGGAATTTTAATTCTATTTTTTCTCATTTTTATATATATACATACACACAATAATGCATGAGGTAATATATATGTTGCATGACAAATTAGAAATATATAATATATTATATATATATATATATATATATATATATATATATATAAAGAGGAGAAAAGATGAGTATATAGTATCAATAAAATTATTTAAATTTATATTAAAATATAATATCAATTTTATATAGATTTTCAATATTTTGTTTTCGTTAAAATATTCCTTAAAATCAGTCAAAGAAAACAAGACTATAGCCCAAACTCATAAAAGAAGATAAGAAAATAATAATGAGAAAAAAAGGAGAGAGTGAGTGAAAGTTATGAAAAATTTAACAGACCTGAAAGATGATTGAAAAAAGATCATTTTTTTTCAATCATAGAATTTTTTTTTTTGATTGGATTCAAATGAAACTCTACAAGGTTAGTTGCAAAAAGTGTTATGACTGGAAAATTTGAACAGCAATTTGTAACAATAGAATCAATTCAAGTTTCCTTTATCCCAGCTTTTGTAATGTAAAAATAAAACTTAAAACATTTCTGAAACAAATTTTTTTTTATTCTTAGCTATATATATATCAAAAGAAAATGAAGTTTTACAAAACTTTCAGTAATCCTAAATGTAGAAAAATGGCATTTTATAAAATGAGGTTTTGAGGATTTAGGGGAAAAAAAATTTCTTTTATTAACTAAAAAAGGGTTTTAAAGTAAAAAAAAAAGAGATAAATAAATGATTGACATTTGACAATATGATAGAAAATGCATTAAATAAATCAAGAGTGACAAGAGAATAAAATTACTATTGGGTTGGAGTAGGTGTTGAGTGTAATGTAACCCTAGACTAATTTAAGTGGTACTGAGGTCCATTATATAAAGATGGTCAATAAGAATTATGAAGAAGGTTATTAGTATATAGAATGTAAGATTTTATTATGCAATTCTGTCTTTTCACATTAAAATTGGTCTTAAGCAAATATTGCTGGTAAAACATTCAAGATATTTCTATAAGCAACTTATATCTATCTTTATTAAAATATACTGATAACTTTTTTTGGAGGGGGTCATGTTTATTATAAAAAGTGCAACATAAATATATATATATCTATATTTCTGAGATGAGGTATTATGTACATTATTTGCATTATTCAGAAAATTGTCATTTAATCTTACAAAAAAAAAGATATTTATCAACAATGTTTCATTGAAAAACGCCTTGCCTTCTTAAGGTTTGGTTGGAATTTGAACTGAACCAATTTTTTTCAAATGGGGTAGACTATTTCTAGTTAAAGTGCCTATGTTTGATGAATGTCAAATTTATCTCCTGCTAATTTTGCTCTGAAAGTTCTCCACTGTCTTAACTCCTGTCACTGGATCTAACCAATGCCTTTATCCACTGTGCCATGTGTCCTTGAGAACATCTGGGTATGAATTTCTGGGTATTATAAACCTATTATTACCATTGCTAATGAGGTCTTCCAGTTTTCTTGTATAATCTGATTTGTCCATCACTAAAAGAAAGCATTACAGTTCACAATGAGAAAAAGAGTAACAACACACTCCCATTCCTGGATGTTCTAATATCTTGAACAGAGCATGGGTTTAAGATATCCATATACCAGAAACCGACATTCACCAGACAGTACCTCAATTTCAACTCCCATCATCCATACAGCATCGTAAAAGGGATCATTGCTGCTTACAACAACGAGCAAAAAAGTCATAAGTAAAAACCCAGAGATGTTAGATAAAGAATTGGTCAGTATAAGTAGTACCCTACAACATAACAACTACCCTGGGTACATGGCAGCAGCCAAAAAAAACTGGGATAGGCGGGTACAAGAGGAGGAGGACAACAACACTCAGAAAACAGTCTGCCTGCCTTATGTGAAGGGGTTATCAGAGAAAATACAAAGGATCTGTGGTCCATATAACATCAGGACAACCTTCAAAAGCTTGACGACACTTTTGCAGATATCTTTCCCAGTAAGACCCCCCCATAGAGGAGAACATGACTAAAGACTGTGTGTACGCTATCCCGTGCAGCTTTGGAAAGGAATATAAAGGAGAGACAGGCTGCCCCCCTCAAGGTAAGGCTTTGAGAACACCAGAAAGCTGTAACATGAGGGGAAGTAGAAAAATCAGGCATGACTGACCACATATGGAGAGAGAAGGGAGATCACCACTCTCTGTGGGATCATGTTGAGATCATAGACAAGGAACACCATTGGAAAATTCGTAAACTTAAGGAATCAGCACATATGCTAGGCCACAGAAATCTCCTGAGCCGACCAAGCATAGAAATAAATACAATATGGGAACCAGTAATAAGGAGTGCCAGAGAAAAGCAATGATAACAAAAAAGTTGCAATATGAGCTCTAAAAAAAAAAACATGCAATGATAACAAAAAAAATTGCAATATGAGCACTGGTAAAAATGGTTGCTGAAGACATTAGGTTTATAATACCCAGAAATTCATACCCAGATGTCCTCAAGGACACATGGCACAGTGGATAAAGGCGTTGGTAAGATCCAGTGACAGGACCCAAAGAGTGTGAGTTCAATACCTGGGAACTTTCAGAGGGAAATTAGCAGGAGATAACTGATAACTGACATCCATTAAACATGGCACGTGGAACTAGAACAGTCTACCCCAGTGAAAAATAAAGGGTTCAGTTCGACATTCCAACCACCTGAAGAAGGCCGAGCGTACAATGGCGAAACGTTGTAATAAATATTAAACAAAAGATGAGGACAATAGTCTGAATAATGTAAATATATATATAATATATATATATATATATATATATATATATAAATATATTCTATATTGTTTTCAAAAAAAACAATTATGCTGTAGCCTCAATTCATCCTTTTGGTCCTCAGAAAAGTGAAAAATGACAAAAATTCCAAAAAGTATTCTGAGAAACTTGCTTTGTGACTAAATAGCTTTCAGACATTTTGCATTATATGAAAATAGCATTTTTGAAACTGGGTTAAACACAACTTTTTATTGATATATTTATCACATCATTTGAGCAAAATCTCATGGATTTCTGGAGTTATCTTATAAAAACCTACTTTTGGTTGAGGTATTTCTGATTTCCATCAAAAATGATCACATCTGGAAAATTTTTAAAAGGATCCTATTTTAAAAAATAATAAGACTGAGCTATTTTGGACCAAAGTTACATGGATAAAAAATGGAAATATGGAAAAAAGTTTTCAACAAGGAATATAATAATGCCTCTATCAAACACCTCTATGATGAAAAGGGTTCAGGTGTGTTTTGATAATCATGAGGGAAATTTTCTTTTGCAGGCAAAATCTTTACTAAATTGATTTAAACAGAATCATTATACAGGTAATTTCTGGAACAATAAATTCATGAATTTTTGTAAATGTGGTTATTCAGGGTCAGGCAATTTTCAGGTTATATTATTGACATGATATTTTCTCTTTGTCAAGTGATCCAGAGAATGCAATGGCAAAAAAACCAGAAAACATTAAAACATTTTGTGGACCCAATTTTGTCAACACTGGATTTTCTAATATAGGATCTTTGGCAAGTTGAAAGTTAAAAATCATCATTTTGAAAACATGCTAATGGTCATCATCTTCTTTAATAAATGAAGGAATGAAAACTTCATTATTCGTGTCTGATGGCATGATGTCAGGATCCAATAATGAGAGATAAAACAGCACCAAACAAGTGTGTTTCAAATCCCTGTCCTTATAGACCCATTTTCAAAAATTCATTCATAAGACACATCTTTTCGCATCAAGTTTAAAATCATATGGGAAACTTGGT